ATCAAAGTCAAAATGATGTGCTCCGTACTATTTCAGATGTAATAAAGCCTAAAGCCCTCTCTGCCAAATGAGAATTATGTGCACTGAGCTATTGTATCTAACCCAAAATATTTGGGGGCCTAATAGCCCATGGCGCACAGCTCATCAAAAGGGACCAGGAGAAAAGACAAGCTTTACATCAGCAGGTGACTCCATTGCTACACCCCCCGCCCCTTTCCACCTCCAAGAGAATCAGCATAGGCACTTGGACCTGCAGTGGTGTCTCCAGTGTCTTTCCCTAAGAAACCACTTCAGCCCTCTCCTCCATTTACCAGCCAGTGTGTACGATTTTTGATTCCCTCATTTGATAGGAATTTCATGTGTATTCAGTAGATGTCCACAGCATGTATTGCTTCAGGTTCTGTGGAAAATTGAAATATAAAAAGAAAGAAAACCGCAGCTCTAAAACTAGTTAATATTTTCACATTCATAACTTTCATATATGCAGGTAAACCAATCCAGGGGACTACTCATTTTAAAAGTGGAGACTCTTTAGCTCATAGATCAAAATGATGGGTTTTAAGTGAATTTCGGAATAAAAGGGAGGTCACTGTGGGATGAGTTAAGTCTAAGAAATATTCTTGGAAGAACACAGAAGGTGAAGGGTTGAGCTGTACTGGTACCTACAGCTTGTTTAAGGGGGACCATTAAGAAAGATTTTAAATCTGAATACATTAATAGGGATAAAGGAGGACTAAACCCTTAATGAGAAAAAAATAATAAAAGTGCTGTTATAAGGAAATTATAGGTTAAAAATTGGATGGGCAAACAGTGGCAAGAAAGTTGTGACTATAAGTCCAAGATGCTGAAGGCCTACCTAGTTGATAGAGAATGAGAATAAATGGAACAATAATTGGGAATGTTGGTGAGAAATGAGAATCTATACATTTCAGTGGCAAGAGAGTTGTTAGAGATTTTAGGAAGGGTGGGAAACTTGGACATTTTTATATTTAGAGTTGTTTAGTTAAAATTGGAGTGGGACATCCATCTGAGAACTGGGTAGGTTTTGTTTTCAGTATTTGGCAATAAGGATGGTGATTCCAATGGACCTGCCAAAATTTGGGATTGAGAGGCCCTTGGTGTCCATGGGGTTCAAGTCCCTTGCAGAGTTCAGGATTCCTTCCTAGATACTTCCACCCAGGTATGAGTACTTTCTGTTTCAGGTCACTACAAGAAATCGTCCCTTATGCAGTATTAGTATTTACTCTCCTGTAACTTGTACCTAAATTCCATTTTGACCTGCTGAAACAGCTCTGAATAAGAATATGTGCTCTTCACATACATGAGAGTCATTGCCTTCTACTCAAGTTGTAGCCTTTTGAGAACACATTCCTCCCTTCAGGTGCAGCTCATTCTCACAACATACAAACAAACTCCTCATTTATTAATAGACATTAGAAAGGCATCACGAGGATCTCCCAGCTACAAGATTTACTGATGCTATTTCCATCTTATGGTTGGTTTATGGTCTTCTCTTGCTAGAAAAGGACAGACAACTTCCTATTTCCTGAGAGGAAAAAAAAAAACCATAAAAACCACATTCTAAAACAAAGCATCTTAAGTTCAGTGAAAACCCAACTCCAGCAAGTCTGAGGAATTTGTGGTGGAGCTTCTAACTTGAATGAAAAAAATAAACAAATTTAAAGAATCAAATTCAATGTTTCAAAGGATTGTGATTTTCTACTTCCGTTCATGCTATAAATTTAGCAGGCTCTAGTGATTTTTAAAAATTTGTCATTATTTTCTGATATTTATAACACTTCATCTGCTTCTAAACCTTGAAGTGAATTCGTGAAAAAGAAAAATCCATTTAGGTATCTATTACCTCTGAATGGGGACTGAGTTTGAAACCTCCACACACTAACAAATATTTGCCTATGCAAATGATTTTTGCACTGGTATTCTGGCCGAGATAATAAATTGTTATTATTCATGCTCATAATAATATATACATTGTAAGTTTCTCAGAAGAATTGAAACGAATTCTTCCTTATTCTACAGCAACTCATATTTATAAAAGTCACAAAATAGTACCTTTGTTGTTCCAAGTGAGAAAATGTTAGAAAGATACACACAGGCCCATCAAAGCCAAAGTTGGTGTCCAATGTGCCAGGAGTCAGAGGATACTCATGAATTAACACTCCTCTGATGTTTAATCTTTCTAATTCAGTACCAGTTACTTTTATAAAACCAAAAGCAAGAAGAATAAAAAAAATACTACATGCACCTACTGTGTGACCAATGTTATATGATATGGAAGACGCAGTCTAACCCCAAATCTAATTGAGAAGGTCAGATTTCAAAATAAAAAAAAAATAACTTGGAGACTCTTGTTAAAGAGAGTATATCTTGACTTGCTTAGGGAAAGCAGTAGCTAAATTACAAGATAAGAAATAAAAAGAGCTCTGTTTTATTTCCTACTCTGCGACCAACCTGATGCTAGTTACTTATCCTACCTGTAAAATGCAATAAAACTGCACACGACAGGCCTATCCCAGAAGGATAAGTGAGGATTCATCTCCTGTAGGTGTCTGGAGTTTCACAAGTGTTGTTGCGATATACAAATTGCAGCTCTTCATTTTGCTTTGATAACACATTCATGGTCCTTGCACACTGGAGGCTACCTTCAGCTGTCCTGATAGTAGATCAACCTCTACTCAACATTCCTTCTCCAGCATCTCCTGAGGATTAGCGAAGACCAAGCTAAAAATATTGCTCAATGATTGCACTTTAAATCATACACGGTTGAGACTTACAAGGTCTCAATTTACTTTAGTAATACAAAATTAACCTTGTAGGTGCAAAATTACAGTATTATTTTATAATTATAGCTATATTCACTATATTTATGGGGTATTTCAAAATACCTGACCTTCCCAATGTAGGTTAACTAATTATTTTGTATCTGGCAAGGAGTAACTTCATTAAACCTGTATCTCAGTAGAAGTGTGGCTAACACTTCTTCATCTGACCAGGTTCTATTACCATTGTGCCTGACACATTAATTAAATTTCACGTCCAAGCATGAACTTAGAATTTTAAAAAAGCTTAGCCCACTGCACCCATGTGACTATTAGTTGTTTATAGTATCAGACTCTCAGTGTAAAAGGCCTATAAATTAATTTATATTTATTGTCTGTGTATATTTTGTTTTTTTTTCTCTCTACTAGACCACAAGCTCTTTGGGGGGCAGGAAATTTTGTTTTTTAAAAAATTCATGTTTGTAATCAGAGTTTCTAGAAAGATACTTTGCACATGGGAAGCAGATAATAAATATGTGTTGCATACTGGAAATGCATTTGGACTGAAATGAAAGATACAGATTTTTCAATGTATTGTGTTGAGTGAGTAGAACACTATCTGAGTGTAGATCAGAGTTTAGTTGGTCATATTCTCATTTATTCAGGTTTTAAACCATTACTAGTCTAAAATGAAAGATAAATGAAGTTATGTTATCTTTTTTTTCCCCTATGGTCATTTCTTAAAGAGGCAAACATAGTGCAGGCTACTAAACAATATTATATACAATGTCATACAACATGAATCAAGAAATTCACTTTCCTTAAACAGAATCAAGTTGAGAAGTCTTTTTTTTGGGGGGGGGAGGGGTAACTGGGGATTGAACTCAGGGGCACTCAACCACTGAGCCACAAAACCCAGCCTTATTTTGTATTTTATTTAGAAACAGGGACTCACTGAGTTGCTTAGTGCTTTTCTATTGCTGAGGTTGGCTTTGAACTAGGGATCCTCCTATCTCAGCCTCCTAAGCTTCTGGGATTACAGGTGTGTACCACCACACCCAGCGAAAGTAATTTTTAATTACAGCAAATTGGAAAAAAAAATAGAAATCTTTTCTTTTCTTTCTTTTTTTTGTGGTACTGGAAACAGAACCCAGGACCTCACATATGTTAGGCAAGCACTTTACTGCTGATGAGAAAATCATCTCTTCTTGTTTTCTAATTTCAAATATGTATTTTGATAAGAAATACTTAAGAAATACTTCAATATTCAAATGTACATAAACCATTTAAGTAAATAAAAATCAAAACTTGAAATTTATTTTGTAAGCACAAAACCCAGGAAATTCTCACTGATTATCACACTATACATCCTTAAATTTTTCTCAACCTGAAGCTTTATGTTTTCTGCATCTTTTTTTCTGTGTAAAAAAAAAAATGAAAGAACAAATTACTTGCTACTTCCTTTGACTGAGAAGAACTGATACAAAATTATCTATTTTTAACATAAAAATTGGAGTTTAAAAATTTTTGTATGAATCATAGAAATCCTTCTGCAAGAACTCAGGAGTTACATATTAAGACACAGCTATGAAATTAAGTGAGCTATTCTGAAAGAACTCTCTTTTTACCATATATGTTCCGTATGCCTTCATAACATTGGTACACAATTGGATATGATTGCTCAAGTAAGCTTTAAAGTTCATTTAAAACTTGTTTTTTCGATTTCCAGTAAGAATATAAAAATATTACATAGTAGTAGAAATGCAAGTGAAATAAGGAAGCTTACTGTTGAAAAGCCTAAAGTAAATTTGTAGACACTAAACATAGACCCAAACCATGACTAAGAATAATTATAAATGACAAGTAAAAATAATTATAAAGTACAAGTCAATGAGCACAAGCCATCCTCTGTTGAACTCTACTCATCAAAAGTGCCTTTTAGAACAAAAGCACTAAAAGTTAATGATGGAAGTGATTTCACAGCTTAGCAATACCCATAGGTAGGTTTAAGAGGTTGCCATAGATCAGGATCTACTCATTTCAACTGAATAAGCAATGGCACTGGCTGCAACGTCCATATTAAGACCATTGGTAAATAAGATCAGGAAAGTGACTAATGACCAAAATGTAAGAGCTGTCCTATGACAACTAGAATACTTATCCAACATAGACTTATATATTAAATCCATGTGTCAGTTTTCCATTACTGTGACAAAATACCTGAGATAATCAATTTAGAAAGAGAAAAGGCTTCTTTTGGCTCATGGATTCAGAGGTTTCAGTCCATGGATGCTCAGTCCTTTTGCTTTAGGTCTGTGGTAGAACACATGGTAGAGGAGGACTCTCACCTATAAGTAAAAGGAAAGCAAAAGAAGCAGAAGAAGAGGTCAGGGTCCCAATTTCTCCTCAGAAGGCTCACTCTGATAACCTAACATGCTCCCACTAGTTCTTACCTCTTAAAAGTTCTACCACCTCCCAATAATCCCATAAGCTAGAGACCAAGCCTCCTAACACACAGGTCTTTGGGGAGGGTACTTATCCAAACCATGGCGACCCTCTCTTGATTTTTCCCTATATATAAATTCACTTTATTTTTAAGTAGATATAAAGCAACACGATATTAAACATCAATAAGTAAATTAATAAATACTAACCCTACTTGAAAGTTCAGAAATTAATACAATTGATTTTCTACTTTTCCTGTCACTAGATAAAAACAGCTTTTTAGAATTATTCATTTCACAGTGAATATCAGAGTGGATTTGCATTGCTATTGTGATCAGAAAATTTAATCAAACAGTAGGAAAAAAAATAAGGAAAACCAAGCAACAGATTTGTTTTCTTTCGGATGCTAAATTGCATGTGAAGAAAGAACTGTGTTTTCTCTTTTTCTATTCCAAATCAGGTTTAGCATTAACTTTATTTATTGATTTTACTTTATGACATTTCAGTCTTTGATGAAGCACCCTTTGGGGGGTTAGATCCTGAAAAACAACAATATAAAAACTACAACTTGGAACCAAAGTTAAATATAAAAGCAAAGAAATTCAAGAGAGCAAGCATTAACTAAAGACACTAAATAGATAAGATTTAGCAATTACCATAACATCTAAAATGCCATTGTGCATTTCTTCTAGAAAGAACTTAAAGGAAAGCTCTCTGTTTCAATTATAAAGTCATTCCATATTTTTTCTTAATGGTGTTTGTATGGTGTCTATTGAGTAAATGTGGCCAGAAATAAGAAAACTTTAAGCCATATTTGTCTGATTGGCTCCATCAGGAAGTAGATACAGACTACGAGGGTGGTTCCCAAGCCTTAGCTGCAGCTGCCCCTGAATCACCTGGAAGACTTAGATTAATAGGTAGACCCCCTCAGTGGTTTGTAATAGGTCTGTGGTATGGAGGGCTACCCAGATTTCATTTTCTAACAAAAAAATTACCCAGGTAATTCTGGTATTTCTGGTCCTAGTACCCACTTTATAAATTGAGAGGAAAGGAGACTGTTAAGAATTGAAATGCATTAATATGTAGGCTCCTCAGAATCCAGTTGGACTGAGAATTCCAATCCAGGAGTTTAACGGCCAATGAAAATATCATCTACAGGGTGTCACTATTTTCAAGTCCTTCTAGAAACTACCTCAGAAATACCAACTATATGTAATGGTTCATGTACGTAAGAACCAACTCTATACCTTGGTCCAAGGCCAAGAGGAATGTTGGAAAGTTGGTGTATATTACACGCCCTCCTGCTCCACTCTTAGACTTACTAAGTACCTCTTTCACCATGTGGGTATACACACAGAGCACACCCAGCCAGTCCATCAGTAAAGCTACAGGGCAGGAATAACAGTACTAACATCACATACCATGGGTATAAATATTTAAAAGTTACAAATACCATTTTAAAAAACCACTAAATAAAATGTCTTGTCCACTTAGCTTGACAAATATATTTTCATAACAACTTGGTAGGTGCAATTCTAATTTAGAAAATGCAGACTTAGAGTTTTGTGCCTGAAAATTGAGAACTAACCCCTAACCTTCAAGATATTCTTCTTCCCTTTCCAATCCCAGCTGTAATTTACACTGTGAGGGGCTGGGAAATTTGACTACATACCATAGAGAGCAGCTACCATCCCCTGGCCATCTCTTGGACCCACTGTTGGATACTATGGCAAGGTCTTAGGAGAGTGGTGCCATGGGAGATGCTTTCCAGACCCTGGGGAACAGGGTCAGGGCCTGGTGAACAAGGAGCTCTTAGACCACTGTTCCCCGAATAGAGTCTAGAAGAGGGGTACAGGTCTAGATGGGAAAGTGTCCTAGCCCCTGTGGAATCCCTACCCCAGGGGGTGAACAAGGCCAGAAGAACATCAAAGAGCAACCTCTAAAACACAGGAGGGGAAACTGTGAAGAAGGAACTACTGTTTTCCTCACCAGAGTCCTAGGATCCTCATATATTATATATTTTTTCACCAAAACTTCAAATACCGTGTTCATCCTAAATCACAAGCAACTGAAGACAGAATAAGGCTCTTAAACACATCTTTTTACTTGTATGAAAATTTCTATTATAAACAGTCTAATGGTATAATAGGAGGACAGGAAAAGTGTGTCAATAGGAAATAGATGTTATTCCCTGATGCTACGAAGCCTCTGCACACACACATGCTGTAAGATAAAATTTAATTGGCATATTTAAAGAACATAGGTGAACTTGAAAATAGGTGGCAAAGGTGGTAGTGGTAGAGATTGGTCCACAATCAAATAACTTTAATTCACATTGAGTTAATTTATTTCCCACAAATGTATATTTTAATCATCTAGGAATAAATCTAGAGTATATACTGTTTCTTAAAGTTATTAGAACAAAGAATACTGTTTCAGAGAGCATCTAACTGAATTGGTGCTTCTCAGAACATGTGTTGGAAACGGCGGATTAGATGATGTGTTAGTTATCTATTGCTTTGTTACAAATTTCCCTGAATTGTGACTTAAAAGATAATGCATATTTATCATCTCTTAGAGTTTCCACAGGTCAGGAATCTGGGAGAGGCTAAGCTTGGAGATTCTGGCTCAGAGTCTCTGATGCAATTGCGGTCTGTCAGCCAGGATCAAGTCAAGTGAAGGCTTGACCAGGACTGGAGGATTACAGGCAGGGTAGCTTACCCCCGCCACTGGAAATGGTGCCAGTTATTGATATAGGCCTTTCTCCTCAGAGGAGCCTCTTCCTAAGAGGCTGGAAGGTCCCCATCCCATGGCATCTCGTGTTTCCTAAAGGGAGAGTCCAAGGCAAAAGCCACTGTGTTTTCCATAACCTTACCTCAGAAGAGACACATTCTCACTTCCACCATATTCTATGGATCACAAAGTCAACCCTAGTTCAACACAGAAGGAGACTGTGTAGGGCCATGACTGCCCAGAAGAAAGGACCATTGAGGGAGTGCTGACTACCACAGATGACTCCTATGGACTCCTCAAGTTCTAAGAATGCATAATTGGTCGAAATTTAGACTTGTTACCAATGATACTGAAAAGCATTCAGTTGAAAATGAACTGTTACGGATGTATAAAATTGATCACTGTAGTAAAAAGAATATTGGCTCCTCAAAGATGCCTGTCTCCTAATCCCTGGAATCTATGAATACATCCCCTAGTGTGGGAAAAAGGGATTTTGTAGATGTGATTAAGTTAAGGACCTTGAAATGGGAAGAGTATCCTGGACTGAGTTGGCCCAATATAATCCCAATAAAATTGCAGGGTCCATCAAATTGAACACATTTTTTGGCTGTGGTCAGAGAGGTGATGATGGGAGAGAAAAAAACAAAGAGAAGGCAGTGGGAGAAAGACTTGGCCCCCAATTTTTCTGGTTTGGAAGATGGAGGAGGAAGGAGATCAAAGAATGTGGCGAGTGTCTAGAAGCTGCAAAAAAGAGAGAACCATCCCTCCTCCCTTGTCTCCTGGAGCTAGCCTTCAGCTGCCTTGATTCTAGCTCAGGGAAGCTCATGTTGGGCTTCTGGTCTACACAACTATAAGAACACACAAACTTGCATTGTTCAAAGCCACTAAGTCTGAGGTAATTTGTTATAAACCAGACGGAAACTATACCATCACCATAGAAACTTACTTTTTTTTTTAACATTTTGTTTTATTCGGGTTTTGAGTCACTGTAACCAAAAGATCTGACAACAGCCACGCAGAAAAGGAAGAGTTTATTTTACTGGGACTCGCAGTTCCAGAGGTCTCAGTTCATAGATGGCCAATCCACAGTTCTGGGTCCAAGGTGAGAGAGAACATTATGGCAGAAACGTGCGGCAAAGGAAAACAGTTCAGGGCATGGCAACCAGGAAGCCCAGAGAGAGCTCCGCTCAGCAGGGATTATAAAAATAAACCCCAAAGGCACATCTCGGCACCCATTTCCTCCATCCACACCTTACCTGGCCACAGTTAGCACCCAGTTAATCCATTTCAGAGGATTAATCCATTGATTAGGTTATGACTCTCATAATCTATTTCACCTCTGAAAATTCTTGCATTGTCTCATACTTGATCTTTTGGGAGACACCACATATCTACTCCATAAAAACTTTATTATATTAAAATCTTGAATTAGTTAGTTATTCAGCACATAGAATATTATCTAATGGAATTTTCAGTTATCATTAGCATTGTATTTTGTTTCCTTACATTAACATTCAAGTTTGCCTTGAGACCAAACTGACAAAAATCAACATCTCCTGAGTCAGAATATGTATTGTAGTGAAATTATTTTGAAGAACATATTTTTCCTCGCAGGAGACAACACAGAATTATATTTTAAACAACAATTCTCCTGGGAACTGCTAAAGATAGATGAGATTTAGGAATTGCACGGATAGGTTTCAAGGGGAATAGAAGGTTGAAAATGCATACATTAAAAATTTTGTATAATAATTTGAGTGCATAAAATATTTTAAACTATTTTATATCACTATTAGTTTTAAATCATGATAGAAATGATATTACTTATCATTTGTAATGTGTTTGAATACATAATAGTAGTACACTACTAAGGCCTGAATTCCATCAATAAGTTTAACATCTAGTCACTAACCTCAGGATGAGCACAACCTAAATGAAAATATAAGACAACATATGAAACATTAAATTACTGTTAGGTTTCAAAATAGAAGAGATGACAGACTAGCAAGTGATTCATTTCCAAATAAATTATTAAAAATTATATAGGACTTCAAAAGAAGGAACAATAATCAGCAGGTGAGACAACAAAAACATCATAATGAAGATGCTATTCTATGTGGACTTTGAAAATTGCAAGACATTGTATGATATAAGGAGGAAAGTAATTCTA